CAATCTGCTGGAAAGGTCGGCAAGGTGGATCAATTGGCTGCAGAAGTCCCGCTGGCCTTGTCGGCGGTGTCTTGCATCGCTGCCAGTCCCGGCATATCCTCACATAACGAGTGACGTCGGTGGTAAGATGTGGCTAGTAGTACCTTTCTTGTATCCTCGCGAGCGTGCGAGAAACACCGAGGTGCCCTGCCGTCGAATCGTCGTGCAGGGCCTGCAGGAGTTCTGGTCGCAGAGCTGAAGGCACCACAAGGAGGTACTTAGCTCGAAGCGGTGAAAAGTTTTTCTTTTGTAGAAGACCGTTTCGTAGAAAGAACGACGCAAGTGCGCGCTTGAATTTCTTCGGGACTACGGCGGTCCTGCCTTCGAGGTATTCTATTATGGCCTTAAGTTCCGGGTCGGCCCGCTGTCGTTCAGCGAAGTTGTCGGTAGTTATCGTTCCCAAGAAGTAGTCGTCATCCGGGTCGTCGGGTAGCGGTTGGTCGACAGGCGCACGAGAGAGACAGTCGGCGTCGGAGTGTTTTTTTGCCGGACTTGTAAATGACAGTAATGTCATATTCTTGAAGTCTCAGGCTCCATCGTGCGAGGCGACCTGAAGGGTCCTTCAAGGTGGCTAGCCAACACAAGGCGTGGTGGTCGCTCACAACTTTGAAGGGCCTGCCGTAGAGGTAGCGGCGAAATTTCGACGTAGTCCAGATGATGGCGAGGCACTCCTTTTCTGTTGTGGAATAATTCGCTTCTGCTTTGGATAGCGATCGGCTGGCGTAACTAATAATCCTTCCAAGTCCGACAGCCCTCTGCACAAGAACGGCGCCAAGACCTACGCTGCTTGCGTCAGTATGTATTTCTGTCTCGGCGAATTCGTCGAAATGGGCAAGTAACGGAGGCGTCTGGAGGCGATGTTTAAGCTCCTGGAAAGCGTGTTCCTGTGGCGTTTCCCACTTGAACTCCATGTCGGCCTTGGTAAGGTTAGTGAGAGGATCGGCGATGCGGGCGAAGTTTTTCACGAACCGCCTATAATAGGCGCACAGGCCCAGAAATCGGCGCACAGCCTTATTGTCAGTGGGCGGCGGGAAGTCGGCGATGGCGGCTGTTTTCCGTGGATCGGGACGAACTCCAGACTTGCTGATAACGTGCCCCAGAAACAAGAGCTCCTCATACGCAAATCTGCACTTTTCTGGCTTCAGTGAGTCCGGACGTCTTGACGGCTTGAAGTACAGCTTCAAGGCGCCGAAGATGCTTGTCGAAACTCGAGGAAAACACGACGACATCGTCCAAGTACACAAGGCAAGTCTGCCACTTCAATCCTGCCAGTACTGTATCTATAACGCGTTGAAAAGTTGCAGGTGCTGAGCAAAGGCCGAAGGGCATCACCTTAAACTCGAAGAGGCCGTCCGGTGTTATAACGCCATCTTTTCTCGGTATCTTTCGTCGACTCCGATTTGCCAACGTCTTGAGGTCCATTGACGAAAAGTACTTGGCGTTATGGAGCCGATCAAGTGCGTCGTCTATTCGTGGGAGAGTATACACGTCCTTTCTTGTGATTTTGTTCAGGCGGCGATAATCGAGGCAGAAACGTAGGGTCCCATCCTTTTTCTTCACTAACACCACGGGGGATGCCCATGGACTCTTGGACGGCTGGATAATGTCATCCCGCAGCATTTCATCAACTTGTCTCTTCATGGCCTCACGTTCTCGCGTCGAAACCCTGTACGGACTCTGACGGAGTGGTCTGGCATTTTCTTCGGTTATGATGCGATGTTTCGTGATTGGGGTCTGCCGAATTTTCGATGACGACGAAAAGCAATCTTCGTATTGCAGGAGCAGGGCCTTGAGCTGTTCTTGCTTATCGTTCGGACGTCTGGGATTGACGTCGAAAGCTATGGGAGGGGCTTGGTTCCTCTGAGCAGGTTTCGCAGAATCGGCAAGGGCGAAAGCACTGGTGGCTTCGACAATTTCTTTAATGTATGCGACCGTTGTTCTTTTGTTCACATGTTTGTACTCATTGCTGAAGTTCGTGAGCATAACGGTTGCTTTGCCTCCCTGCAGCTCTGCGATTCCTCTTGCGACGCAAATATTTCGGGTAACCAACAGATGCTGACTGCCTTCAACGACGCCTTCCAAGTCAGGTGATTTAGGAGCGCCGACTGAAATAATGACGCTTGAGCGAGGCGGAATTGTGACTTGTTCTTCCAGCACATTCAAGGCATGGTGTCCTGACGGCGTGCGCGGCGGTAGTGCTTCTTCTGTGGATAACGTTATCGACTTTGTTTTTAGGTTGATGACAGCACCATGGAGGCATAAGAAGTCCATGCCAAGGATGACATCTCTCGAGCAACGCTGTAGGACTACGAAGTCTGTAGGATAAATACGGCCGTTAATGGTGACTCTCGCTGTGCAGATTCCTGCAGGCGTTACGAGATGAGCTCCGGCTGTGCGGATTTCAGGGCCTTTCTAAGCTATCTTAACTTTCTTTAACTTCGCGGCGAACGACCCACTGATGACAGAATAGTCGGCTCCAGTATCGACGAGAGCGCTCACACTGTGGCCGTCGATAACAACGTCGAGGTCGCTAGTTCGCAGTCTCGCATTACAGTTAGGGCGTGGCGTCGGGTCACGGCTGCGTCGGCTTGTTCCGCTGCTTCCATGTTGCGTCGTCAGGCCACCTTCGGTAAGTGAGCTTTCGCCGTCAGGGCTTTGCCTGGTTGGCGTTGTGTTCGGAAAGCTCCGTTGCGGCGGCCTCGTCGTCGGAGGATCTTCGGTAGTTCGTCGCACAGCAACCGCACCTCCACCGGTTGCTGCCCTTAATTTCCCGGATACGGGCTAGGAGACCGGCCCCGCGTTGGGCCAGAGTACTGCCGGTGGTGCGGTGACGTGCGGCGGCTTGGCGACAGTGAACGCGAAGAGCTTCGTGGTGTCCACCGAGTTCCTGTCAGGTAGTCGGCGATGTCACGTGGTCGTTCTCCTGGCTGTGGACGCGGTGCATTGACGGCGAAGCCACACAGTCCCATCTGTCGGTACTGGCAACAGCGCTATGTGTGTCCGGCCTCGCCACAGTGGTAGCAGAGCGGGCGATGGTCAGGGGTGCGCCAGACGTCAGTCTTCCTCGGTGCACTGCGCTGGGCCGCTGGTGAACGGTATGACGTCGGTGGGGGTGGTGGCGTCTGTCGACGGAAGTGCGATGGGGCGGCGTTGTGGCGTGGACGGGAAGGAGCGTTGTGGCGCAGTGCAGCGGCATAGCTCATAGCTTCCGGATCGGGCAGCGGTGCGTGGGGAATTCGAAGCGATTGCCGATTTTCCTCTCGCACAATGTCGGCGACTGAATCCACTTGAGGCTGCGCCGAAGGCAACAGCTCGCGCAGCTCTTCCTGCACGATCGCTTGGATCGTTTCACGCAGGTCTCCTGAGTTACTGGCTTGAGCAGCAGCGCAGTCTGCAGTCAGGCGACGATTATACTGTCTGGTGCGCATGTCCAGGGTCTTTTCGATAGTGGTCGCTTCGGCTACAAATTCTTGGACGTTTTTCGGTTGGTTTCTCATCAGTCCCGGGAAGAGCTCCTGTTTGACCCCTCGAATGAGGAAACGAACTTTTTTCTCCTCAGGCATGTCTGGGTCAGCGTGACGGAATAGTTGGGTCATTTCTTCTGTGAAAATGGCGACATTTTCATTTGGTAGCTGAACCCGGGTCATTAATAAAGCAGCGGCCCTCTCTTTGCGAGCGACGCTCGTGAACGTTTGCAGGAATGCGCCGCAGAAAACATCCCACGTTCGGAGCGTGGACTCCCGATTTTCGAGCCAGGTCCTTGCGGTGTCTTCTAAATAGAAGAACACACGACGCAGCTTTTCGTCATGGTCCCAGTAGTTGAGGGCGGCCATACGGTCGTATGTTTCTAGCCAGGACTCCGGGTCTTCGAACGATGACCCATGGAAAATTGGTGGTTCCCTGGGTTGATGCATGACCATCGGTGGGCTGGGACGCTGCGGTTGTCATTGTCGCTGCAGTCGCGGTCATGGCCTTGGTTCTTCGCGCCTTGTCTTGTAGAAGCCCGTACTCTGATGGTAGCCCTTGCTGTCGGCGGCTTGTTCGCTGCTCCTGGTTGGCGTCGATGTCTTCTCCGCGATGTGGGCTGGGTTCAGGGCTTGACGGGGGCATCCGGTACATGAACGAAGCAGCACCTCCACCAGATGTCACGGGGTCGTGACGTGGCCGAAGACAGGAGACTTCGTGTTGGGATTTAACTGTTTATTTGGGCGAACCTGTGCCCGGTAAACGGAAAGTCCAATTACAGCAGCAGTCTCGCACAGATAGCAGTGTCAGACTGGTAGCGGCCTTCGGAGCGTCAGCCTTCGATCAACAACTGACAAGCGGCGAAGCGCGTCGGCATTTATACTCTTGCCGTCGAATGTTCTAGCGTTATCGCTGGCGGTAGCGTAGGTTCCAGAACAATCTGTACCGTTCGCACAGTGGGCTGTGATCTTATCGAAATGATCTACTACAGTCCGGAACCTTCTCGAAAACTGCAGGCGCGGTTTGCACTGAGAATCGTGTGGTGTTTTGGGACGATAACAAAAACTCGGGAAATGCAACGTGGCAATATAGAGGACTGGCTTCCTCAACTCAGCAGTAGCATTTCTCTCAAACTACGTTTCCCAAAATAAACATTCGGTGGCTCATGTTCAGTCGTAGTGCATGAACTTTTCCTTTGAATAGGTATAGTGGTGATGCGTGTCTTCAGAAAAAATGATTATACTAATGTCCATGAAGCGGTTGAAGTCTGAGTACAAATGTGATAGCCAAAACTTACTTTTGACTCGTAAAAAAAAGACAACTGCCAGTTACAGACAGCTCCATTTGCTGACGACATCCATCGTAGCACTCATGAAATTGGTCTGTTAGCAGCATTTTGTGAGTCATTGGCCTACAACTTTCAAGTAACTGCAGTTGAGATGGTCCCGCTGTCCCTAACCTCCTGACTCTCCCTTATGCTTATATGTATATTCCAGGTACAGCAAGTCCCAAGCTGGTTCTGTCGGATTTCGGCAGCTGCCTGGCCAACTTACATCTTCATTTTGTCTCACCTGAGGTCAACCGTGGCGGCAACCCAGCACTCATGGCACCCGAGGCAAGTTGTTGAATGCTCCAAGCAAACTGTCCTTCCGCTCCAGAAGGTTTTGCTCCAAGTAAAGGAGAGCAATTAAGCATTACAGCTTAAATGAAGGGTTTTATTTAAGGGGGCCCTGCAACACTTTTCTAACTAATCATCGAATGGCTTCATTAAAGGGGCTCATTGTCTCACAAATGTAATGCCACAAAAGTTGTTAAAGTCTGTGTCATATGAGCGGAGTTACACGGATTTGTCGCACATTGCAAGTGCTTTCCGTCTCCTTTCGTACCAGCAAGGGCGCTACGCAGGGGAGTGTGTTAACAAGGCAGCAAGAAGATTCAGTCAGCGCGCGTCAGGACCTTGAGCACTGTCTTCGTTTCGCCTTCAAATGCGCAGCTTACTTTCAGTGATTGCGAGCACATTTATGGCCACATAACGACATCCTGCAGTGGCTGGCGTGCACGTGGGGATGGCCAACCCCAAGTCATGTAAGAGAGTGCTCACAGTTATGGCAGCTGGAGTCACTAATCAGGTTGCAGTGGTGCTGAGAGAGGGCAGTAGGGGCGATCGCCCCCGCATAGTCTCTGTCAGCATCATCAACTCAGGGCTCGTAATTCACCTCTTATCATCAATTGGGACAAATTAGTTAAACTGCTGTGAGCTCACATTGACAGTATTTATGCTATGAAGGGGTTTTTCTGCTATAGTAAAAACAAGTAAGCCATGACCACACCCCCTTTTTAGTGTGACTTCCCTTAAAGTGAGTGGCTGTATCCACCCATGGCCATGGAATTTTCATCATTTAGATCAGTGGTTCTCAAATAGAAGTCCGCGGATCCACAAAGCCATTTCTATGATCCGCGAAGCCCTCACCCACTTGTTTGTTTTGTTTTTTAAAAAGTCGTGCTTAAACTCTGTTTAAATGCGACTGTGCCTCGTATTGATGAACTGTGCGAAATGAAGTGATGTGGCTTGTTTGTTTGATGTTTTCGGTAGCAATAAAATAACCTGTTTCCCTCTCAATAGAAAGAGAAGCTTTATTATTTATATATATATATATACAGGAAGTGGGAGGGATATCGCCCGGTGCGGGTTATCGCTCACACACACTAGGTGGGCTCCTCGTTATGGGAGTCCATTGGCAGCCAACGCGACTCGAGCTCGGTTGACCAGGGCCTTCTGGCTCGCCAGATCGGAGCAGCTGAGCAGGGCTGGCTCCCAGTCCTCCCGGGTGGGGTTTGGTTTTGGGGTGAGATACGGTGTTGACTGGCATGCTCACACCATGTGGAAGATCCACAGGACTTCTCTGCTCAGTGCGGGCATTTTTCTGTACAGGCAGGATCAAGATATTTGAAAACTGCCGGGCAAAGCAGTGTTTTGGTGTAAAGGTGGAGGAGTAAGCGTTCCTCTGCCTTTGTAAGGCCCTTACAGGATAGAATTCAGTAATTTCTCGAAATGTTAAGGCCGGATCAGGTTCGGGATTCATTCTGGGAAAGGTTTGAAGGCCTTATCCGTAGAGTAAGCGGGCGGGCAGCAGTGTCTGCCGTTTCATTGCCTTCGAGGCCCGTGCGAGCTGGAGCCCATATAATGCAGGGACGCGAGCGCCCTGACGTAATTACTATTTTGTAAGATGCGGTATGTCAGGTATGGGATGTACCCGTGTTGAATATTTCTGCAGGCTCCTCTTGAGTGCTTAATGATGACGTGCGAGTCCTGGTCTGCGGCAGCTAGCGCGATGTCGACTTCCTCCGCACGTGTTATGTCTTGTGCTCTGAATGTGAGACCATTCACCTCGATGTTTTGGTGGACGACTGCATCCGTGTACCACCCCTCATGGTGAGAGCCAGAGGCATCCAAGTAAAATATGCCGTGTTTGTTTCCAAGTTGTGTTAGTTTGCCTAGGTACCCCCCCCCTTTTCTGCCCTCCACTGCAGGGGGTCCCCCATCCACCAGTCCATAAGGGTATCCCGATGCATCCATATCTGAGAACCACTGATTTAGATTGATGAGTTGGGTTGCATCATTTGTTGAGAAAAGATTGAATGATTTTTAGCTTACTCAGACAATTCGTTGTAAATTTCAGGCCACATGCTGCCATACAATGGTTGGCTTGCGTGTTTCTGTGAAACTCTACTGATTAGCAGCATTTCCTGGTTATGCTGAAAAAGTGTTGTAGGGCCACTTTGAAGGATCTTTAAACAGTAGCCTGACCGTATCCATAGCACTGCACTCTAGAGAGACCAGTTTTGTGCGGGACTTTAATATTTATGCTAAACGCATTACTTTTCTTATCTCTTTCATTATCGTGCGAAAATGATTATTTTTCAAATGTCTCTGGAAAATAGTTTTTGCCAGTCTGAAACTTCAGCACGCAGTGTAGCATACCAAATTTCCATAATAAAATGTTTTTTCCAAAAAATATATGTTGTCAAGCAACAAAAATATTTTGGAATGAATAAAAATGTGAAAACTGTGAAATTTTAGGGTGCCAGCTGATAAACAGTACAGTAAAAACACTATATATAAAAAATATCCAGAACAAAGAAAATTCAGAATAAACATTTTGAAGATAAAACACCCAGGAACAGTATAAAAATAATAAATTTAGTATAAAATGTTTCTATTCACGTAGACAAAAAAAAATAGGAACTGCCGTGCTGCTTCATTGCTACTGCCATGCAGTCAAGCATTGCTTGGTTTTTCGTGAGACGCAAGTGAACGCGTTCAGTTTTCTCAGTAAATTTTAGTTTTTTTTTTTTTTTTTTTTTTTGCTGTAAAAGCCTGCAGGTGTTCCACTTTAGATGGACGCCTATGATGTGAATAATCCCTCTATAAATCAAACGTCCAATGAACTTCGCTATTTCATCTATTGTTGCCTCTTTCCGTGAGCTACTTCACTCAGAATAAGTTGGCATTCGAGTAGATGCATCCAAGCATGTTTCTTTGTATTTTTGGGCATCTTATTTAAAAAAATGAACAATATTACACGCAGTTCGAAAACATTTCACACTGCTCTGTAGTCAGGGCCAAGATGTGCTCCGATAGCCTTTTGGTAGTGAGGAGAAGCTCTGCAGCCGGCGCCAGCAGACTGTACCCTAGCAACATGTGTAACCAGAGTAGCTATAAGATTGTGCACAAAGGTCAGCAGCTACGGACTTGTTTCGAAGGAGACAACTTGATGCCGTAAACAAAACAAACCCATGAACGGCTGTTGATGTCTCAGGCTGATGGAAAATATCATCGCCATGACACTTGAAGCTGAAGTGCTGTCGTCTTCGAACTTTAAGCTCGTCTTCACTCAATTCAGGTGCGGTTGCAAGATAGTTTTGAGTGGCCCGTGTTTTTTGTAGTGCTGGTGTGCACCCATGCGCACATGACGAAGCCGCCATAGGAGATATGCGGCATATCTTCAGAAATATTTTTTTGTGGAATAAATTTTCTCTTGCTCTTAGCAATACCTTTCTATTGTATAGTTGGCATAAATTTCTGGCAATTTTTACTGCTAAACACTGTCAGATGGCGAAGCTGACACGTTAGTTTGATATTTGACTTGCAAAGTTTTTTTTTTATTATTATTACAGAACTTTGATGTTAAACATAACCACAAAGGGCCCTCACTTCTGTCAAGTTCGCCAGCCACGGGCATTTTCTCAACAACACCCGCACGTTGGTTCGCACAAAAGGCTGTCAAAAATCATCATGTTACCCAAATAGGAAAATTCAAATTGATTCCAAAAGTTGAGTGGCTGGACTAACTACTAGAAAGTGCTGGGTGCACGGGAAAGAAATTTAACCAGCCAAAATTGACGATCCTAAGCGCCTATCACCGGTGATCGATTTCAATAGCTTCGGTAACGAAAGAGTTAAACGTACAATTTATGCATTGCTTCATTTTTGGTTGCTTTATTTTCGTCTGGAATGGAAGGTGGTTTTATTGGGACTAGCTGAAGCTCACCATCTCGCCTGGAATGGACTTTCATGCCTCGAGAATTTACTTGCAGAATATGGCAATACCAGGACGCGTCCTGTAGGCATCAAGCTATAGAGCCCTTCGGCCATCCACTCAGTGTTATTGCGGTTAACATGTGCTTTGAAAGGCTTGTTAAGCGACACATCTAGAGGCTACAGCATTGACGTCATTCCACTGGGTATAACAACTAAGTCGGTGTCATTGAGTGAAAAGTGGTTCTTCACTTCCTCGGTTGTGTGGCTGCGGAACTAGTTAGGAACGAGCATGGACCTCTTTGCGAGCATCGCACCGGGCTTTTAATTACATATCGTCTTGACCTAATTCATGAACAAGTCACTGTTCATTCACGGATTCTTTTGTGTGCGCACCACCACACCGGCAAGTAAAGGAACCTTCGGAAGACTTTTCCTTTTCAAAATGACGCACGGTCGCAGTTTCGTGCCATTGGTGAAGGCACAAAGCAAGACTGTGCAGCGCAGTTTCGTGTTCCCGCCAGTCAGCATGCTCACCAAACTGCTGCCCGTCTTCTCAATTATTGTGCCCAACGACACTTCAAAATAAGCGGGAGTTTCATCCACATTGCCGATTTGCGAAAAAATGCGATTGTGTTGCTTTCTCAGGCCGAGAACATATCTCTGGTACTTAAGAAGCTTGTCCTCGAAAGAAGCCGGCAAGTGTTGCCATATTGTAGTCCGCCATCTGATTAAGAGTCCTTGCGCTTCTTAAAGTGAGCCATCCGGTACTTGCACAGAATCCATGAAGTAGGTCTAGCTCCCTCGACAGTCTTCCACTTTGGCCATCTCGATCGATACAGCGTGACCCCTGCTTCTCACATCTTGGATGAACTTTGCTAGCAGCAGCTACAGCTCAGGCTATAGACCCATTCCATGTTTGTAAACACAGGTAGGCCGACGTCGACATTATGGGTAATACTATAGCAACGTCTGCACATAGCTTCCATCATAAGCACTGAGGGCTGTGATATGCGCCAACAAAGCGACGTTGTGTGACGCCATAAGCGTTGTGAAAGCCATAAGCACTGAAAGCT